GATGTTCATATTCTCCAAATTCTTTTCCATTCCATTTTCTGCCCAAGAGCCTCAGGATCGCCAAAGCATCACTTCGGCATCCGGTGCTACCAGTTGAGTGGAAGTATGCTGGGTCCATTCTGTCAAATATACCTAGGCACTATTACCATTATATTCCCTAAGGAAAGCTATTGGGTTGGCCAGACCCTAGCTAAGCCCACCGGTGTGCTTCCTCTTTGGGGCACATATATTAAAGACTGACTAACTGGGAACTGATTTATCGGTGAAACAATAAACAATATATAAACATAAGCATGTGAATGGGAGGTGACACAGGAAATAAAGATAAATAATAATTAAAGTGTAATGGTTGGGAAAATCCATTAACACATAATGCTCGCCCAAAAGATCACCTTTGCTCAGGCAATCAACGGATATACCTTACACTATTTTAAACTCCCTTAACTCTTGCCTCCAAATTTGACAGTTGTACATATTAATAAGAGAGACAAATAATGCTCTATTTTAATAAATCCATTAAATTCTTATAAATCATCAGATAAAATATAAGACTTTCAACATCGATTACACATAAATTTCTGATTACTCTTTGTATTTTATATAATATTTTTAATATTAAAATTTAAGATGAATAAATTTATTATTATTCTTTTCTTCTATTTGGTTGTTCTGATGAAGATCCAAATTAAAGATAGAATGGTTGAGTTTGGATTAAAGATAAAAGAAGATTGGAAAGAAAAAAGAGAATTTATTTATTTAAAAAATGTTGAAATAAAGGAACGTTTTGTGTTGATAATGAATGTAAAACAAAATTGTAGAATAGTTGATTATATTTATAAGAATCCTGGATCGTTTTGTAAAATTAAAATAGAATCTGTTAACAAAGTTTTTATTGTTCAATTAAGTCAGGGGCTTAAATTTTGCTCTCAATTAAAAACGAGAATTTTGATTGAAATTGCCAATAATGAAATTGTTAAGAAATTTCTGAAAGACTTGGGAAAACAGGTATTTTATATTTGATTATTCAAAATTTAAGCCTTCAATAATACACAAATTTAATAATTTAAGATTCTTCTAAATAATAATTTCATTGTTAATAATAATTATTATGAAACTTCTATATTAGATGAAAGTTTAGAAAATATAAAACCAAATAAAAAAGAATTATTAAAAGAAAATATAGAATCATATAGATACAAACTTTTATCGAGTTATTGGACGGAAATTAATTTAATTGGAAATAAAATTGAATTGTTGGAAAAACAAAAAGTTGAATATCCGAAAGAATTGAAAAACAAAATCATTTACATTGGCAATAAAACAAGTAAATAAATTTTTTATTTTTTGTTTATCCGCTCATTTACTAAAAAATATAATTTAAATATTATAGGTGGACTTATTGATGAAACTAAGCGACTATGTTTTAATTGTGGAGCTATAGAAACTATAAATTGGTATATATACATAAAGGAAAATTATTTGTGCAACAAATGTGGAGCATATAATCGAAAATTTGGGAAGCATAGACAAAAAGATTTGTGGGATAAAATAATAATGGTATGTCTTTATCCAAATTAGGTTTGAAAAAAAACTGCATTAAAAAATTTTTATATGAAAAGTAGTTTAATCTCCTGTTTTTATAAAATTTTAGCGAATCACGAATGATAGAAAATGTTTAACTTGTGGTGCAACAAAAACATCACAATGGTACCGTCATTCAAAACCTGAACAATATATATGTACTGCATGCTACATGAAGCAAAAAAGAAAAAATCTAGCTTTAATTTTCTAAGTTTATTAAACAGATTTCAAAACTATTTAAAATAAAACGTATGTAATTTCAGTGAAAACAAAATTTTTTAATTGTTAAAAGTTAAATATTAAATACAATGATTTATTTACATTATTTTATTTATTTTATGAGGATAAAATTTATAATAACACAAAAGGGTCGATAATAAATATTCTTCTATAGCTATGTACATAACTTATTGAAAAATACCACTTGAATGATAAAGCATAAAAATGTTAAGTAAAAACCAAATGAATAATGTCAAAAATGTGTATTTACTATAATCCTATTTTTTATTATTATATCGTTAAAAATGATTATTTATTCAAATAAAAGTTAAACTGTAGCCGTTGTGGACATGAAAATATTACGGTGTATTCTACCAAGATAATCCTACTCCTAGAAAGAAACTAGTATTCAAGTAAGTTTCGAAGTAAGTTTCTTTTGCCTTGTATACTAACCACAGTCATAACACGCACATTTATAGTTAGATTATCCAACTTCCAAAAAATGAAACGACAAAAACTATACACGAAGCCCTTCACATACATATTTATGAGCATTTTACCAATTTTCAATTAAATTCATTTATATTTTGTAAATTCGATTTTACATTTATGACACAATAAACGTTACGAATTACCGATTTGCGGAAGTCAGGGACGACACTTTCCCTGTTTATTCTTTTGAGCTAATTGAGTAGCATAGGTCAATCCACGGATATCTTATAATATCCGGATCCTAAACGATATCCGAAGCTAGACTGTTAGGATCCACTGATATCTTTTTGATCCGGATATCTACGGGCGCTGGGTCTGGGCTCGTAACATAAACCTATTCCTATCTCCCTTGCTCTAGACGTATTTGGGGCCTCCGTAGCAGCAAAAATCTCCACAGATGCCATAGGTAAGGAGCTAAAATAAACGATCATAACTTTGTCACATTCAAGTCCGATTTCGTTGATTTTGGTGTCATTCGACTTATCTCGACGAGCTCTTTCGAAAGAGCTATTATTTGCATATTCAAATTTTTCACTCCGAAAAAGTACTTGTTCCCCCTTTGGTTTTTCGATTTTTCGGGACCTATAACTCGGTCCAGAATCATTTCCTGAAATTGGGAGTGGTACCGTTCGACTCAGCTCGCCGAGACGAATCGATTTACATATGTCTCGTCCCGAAATTTTACCTCCGTGAACTACACTACAACTGAAGGAAGTTATTAGTCTCAATTAGTTACCCAGGGGTCATAAGTTTTTAGACAAAAATCTATGATCAGAAAAATTATAAAATAAATGATGGTTTTTTGTTGCATTTCTATTTGGTAATTTTCCAAAACATGCGTTTATTTGAAATAGGGTTTGACCTCGACCCCGTACCCCGAACCCCGACCCCGTTCCCGAACGATTTTTTCACGATTCTCCCCGACCCGAACCCCGCCCCGAAAAAAGTGAAAACCCCGTACCCCGACCCGAAAAGTTTCGGGGTTATCGGGGTTTTACATACCCAAAAAATGCCATTTTTGGGAGAATTTTAAGAGAAAAATTTAAAAAATTTCCTCCCAATTTACTTTGTCCTTATTATTTTTGAAAGAAAAATGAAAGAAATATCAAAATTCTTTTTCCTGCTCTGTTAAGAGACTTGTGGTTGAGTGGCTTAGGTGTTGGTTTTAGCGTATACTTCTATAAATATAGGATTATGGTTGATCCAAATAAGCTGGACTGGTTTGTTTAAGAATTTTTTTACAAAATCAAGAGCTTAATTTTAATTTAAAATGTAAATCTTATTTTTAAATATTATCAACCATAGAAAAACAATGTAAAGATTAGTTAGCTAAAATTTCAAAAATTTTCGTGTGCAGCGCTAAAAAACGAAGACATCCGGCTTTTTGACCTAAAAAATTTAAAAACTTTCACCCGCGGCTCTGGAAATGTAAGAAATCTGTCTTCTTGGCTTCCAAGTTTCTCAAAATTTTCGCCTACGGCACAAAAAAAAACGGAAAAATCGGGCTTCTTGACCTTACAAAATTCTCAAGATTTCGCCCGCGGCGCAGAAAAGAAAGAGATACCCTGATATCCTCCAAATCCCTAATCACTCGATAACCCTTCAAATCAATGATATCCCTTGAAACTACCCTTAGTCCCTACAAATCCTTTTATATCCCCAGATATCCGCTTTAATCCCTCCAAATCCTCCTTAATCACCTCCAGATCCAATCACTCCAATTTCTCTTATTTCCATTTAATCCCACCTTATTCTCATTAATTTATGAATATATTAACGAAAATAGACCCAAAATGGTTCATTTTAGAGCATTTTTTCTTTAAAAATTTTTTCCTAAAACCCCGTACCCCGACCCGAACCCCGACCATCTCGAACTTGTGTGCATTGACCTTGATTTCCTATTTATTAAAAAATATATTTCAATTATTTGTTTATAAATTTTTTATATAAAAAGGTAGAAGAAAAAATACCAGTAGATGATGATGAAGATGAGGAAGAAGAAGGTTGTGTCAGAACTAATAGTAAATTTTATAAATATAAACTAATGTAATTGAAAATACCATTTGAAGTTGAGGGATTAGAAGTTGAAGGAGCAGCAGAAGTTGAAGGAGGAGCAAAAGTTGGAGCAGCAGAAGTTGAAGGAGGAGCAAAAGTTGGAGCAACAGAAGTTGGAGGAGGAGCAAGAATATCACCAAAAATTTGTTCGACTAAAAATATTTTAGAATTTTGCTTATAATATAGAATAAGATAATTATAAATACCAGTAGAAATTAAAGCAGGGTTTGGTAAAACTAATAATAAAAATTTTAGAAAAATAAACAAATATAATTGTTCAAACCTGAAGAAGAGGAGGAAGAAGAAGAGTTTTTTGGCAAAACTAATAAATAAGAATTTTAGGTATATAAGCAAATAGAATTGGAATTACCAGAATTAGCATTTGATGGAGGATTTTGTTTTTGTTTTGTTGTTTTGTTTGGGTTTGTTTGTTTTATTGTTTTGGGGTTGGTATGTCGAACTAAACAATTAAAATTTCAGATTTCATACAAAAAAATACCCGGCAACGGTGTGCGTTTTATTTTTGGCCTGTCTGCCTCTAATAATTTACGTGCACCTTAAATAATTAGGTTTTTTTTCAAATAAAAATAAAATTACTTCTGGTAATGATGGAAAAGCTTACACGGGGTTTCTTAACAACAGGAGGTGAATCTTCAACTTAAATTACAATTCATAAAAATAAAAACTAAAAAAAACAAACTTTCTCCGTCTGTTGAATCCACTTCCAGTTCTTCATCCTCTCCAAAAAAGTTCTCATCACTGTATGTCAGGTAGAGGATGAAATCCTCTTCGTGATGATCCTATTATTTTAAAAATTTTATAAAATATGCTAACAGAATAAAAAATTGTATGGATATGGTTTATGTACCAGCAAAGGTCAGGGATTTGCCGGGTTACGCTTATATTATACTAATAGTAACACCTTATAAAACATTAAGAACCTTGTCCCCGTTTTGTAATTTTTGAAAAATAAAATTTTTAAAAACCTGATACAGTTGCCCCATTGTAGTCATAGTCTGTAAAATTGGGGATTTGAAATGTAAAATTTAAAAAAATAACCTGCGGTATAAGAGAGTTAACAAAGAAGAATAACATTTGTTCAGGACGAAGATGAATCCTTCAATAAAAAAATTTTCAATTGTGTAAAAGTTAGAAGGATGCTAATATTTAATTTGGCCCGTATAGTCCTGTATTTCCTCTGTGTATAAAACACTCATTACCCACATATTTAATAAGCCCAAAAATTTTTTAAAGAAAACTAACCTTTTATGGATTAAGAAGTAAAATTGTCCAATTGTAAGCTCTGAAGGAACCAAGTACTTTTTCTTATCCAAATCACGTAAGCGAGACTTCGGCGCCTCGATTTTAAAATGTATTTTTTAAAAACTAAAAAAAATAAACCTTCTCAACAATAACAGGAATCCGATCAGGATATTTGCGTTTGATCTTCACCACCTCAGCACGGCGCTTCTCAAACTTATTTTCCGTCCAGTTCATACTTTTAACCATAATTTTAAATAAAATTAAGAAAATTGTAGGTGCGATCATCTATAAATAAAAAATATTTAATAATATTGATTAAAAATGAACAAATTGTGAAAAAAATAAGTGAAGGGAAAATAATCGATGAGAGAAAAAATGGACAAGAAAGAATCAATAAATGACCATTTACTCAAAGTTTTTATACGTTGAGTCTCATCAATTGAGTCCCGCTGTTTCTTAAACATTTCGCCAAAGTACATTTGAGTCTTATCTTTTTTTTTACTCGCCAAAAGAAAATTAGCAATTTGTACTAATTAGTAAAATCGGAGGGGGAAGGGTCGACAAATTAGTTCTTAAAAAATTCCCCTTCCTCCTACCACCCACTCGTTCAATAGGATTAGGATGCGCGGACCCCTCCCCCACCAAAGCTGTCAATAGGCTGCGGTTAGTGCGCGAACATAAATCATAATTAATTGCGGTTAGGCGGCATCCCTTTGTGCGGAAAACTGTTAATTAACTACTCTCAATTGAAAAAAAAAGAAAATTTAATAAATATATTAAAAGTTTAACAAATAATTACGTTTAACCAGTGGATCTGAGGGGATTAAAAGAGCTAATGAGGGATTTAGCGTGAATAATGGGGATATCGGTAGGTTCGGAGGGATATCAAGGGCTTAGGGTGCCAAAGTTTTCTTGAGCCAAAATTTTAAAAGTTCTCGCATTAATACTACGCCATTCCAATGGATCGACATTTTGCTCAATACATATCATTAACTCGTACTCGTTGCTCGTACACGTATCGTACTTAGTACCAAATTACGAGTACAAGTTGGTAAAAATGCACTTATCACCGGTCTCTAATTAAAAAAAATCATAAGGGACATGTATAAGAGTTCGAGTATACGAGTTAAAATAGCTTGAGCTGAAACAAATGGGATCAATCATCCTGATCTAACAATTTGTCAATTATGTTTTGATGAAATAGTGATGATTCCTTGGGCGACAGCCGAAATTTTTGGAAGGCCAAGTATCAATATTCCTTCCTTCTTCAGCGCCGCAGGCAAAAATTTCGAGATTTTAGGAAGGCCAGCGAGCTAAAATTCTCCTTTTTCTTCCGCCGCAGGCGAAAATTTTTTGAATTTAGAAGGTTAGGAGCCAAAATCCTCCATTTTCCAAAAATCCCGCAAAATTCAAAATATTTTGCGGGATCCCGCGGGATGAATTTTTTTTAAACCTTTGCGGGACGAGATCCCGCGGGATAAATCCCGCAAAATCCCGCATTCCCGCAAAATCCCGCAAATCGAAAAAAGTGCGGGATTGCGGGACGGGATCCCGCAAGCGGGATCCCGTCCCGCGCCGACCTCTAATTCGAATATATAATATAAAAATGATTATGATTTTATAATTTTAGTTTTTTGAGTAAATGTTACAAATTATAAAACTGTAATTTCAATGAAAAACAAAATTCTATAATCGTGTAAACGACAAGTCAAGGAAAGGACGACAAGCAAGTAACGACCGACTCAAGTACTATACCAGCTCAAGGAACAGACAGGCCGAGTAACAAACAATTCAAGGAACGATCAACTCATGGAATATTTTAAAAATCGGAATTTTCTAAAAAATCTGAATTTTATTTTAAATTCTGTTTCTTATAGTATTCTAATTTTTTAAATTCTTATCTTTTGAAATTAATCAGATTTTCCAAAAAATTCCAATTTTAAAATTATTCCATTATTAGGTTTTTACTTGAAATGGTCGTTCCTTGCTAGTCTTTTCCTTGACTTGTCGTTCGTTGATTTGTCTGTTCCTTGAGTTAGCCCGACAAGATTTCCACTAGTATTAGCTGAATAATTTAAAGTATTACAATTTTCACAAAATTAATTAAAATCGAAAACTAATAAACGCTTAATAATAATAAAATTAATATTAGTATTTCTAAACTCAATTTTAAATGTTACGGTCAAAAATTTATACGAATATCCAACATTCTGGACTGAGTTTTAGTTCCCACATGTTAAAAAATTTTTTTATTGAAAGATAGAAAATAAATTAAATAATTCAGAAACGAGAAGGGAAATTTATTAATGAAAGCAAAAAAGTCGAGCAGTAAAAAATATAATTGAAATTTGATAACAATTTTTATATTATTTTATACCCATTTATATCCATTCATAGTTGGGTGTATTCCGACTTCCCCAAATTGTAACGCTTTCAGCTTCGATCTATAATATCAAAGTAAACTAAATTTTAAATCATATTCAACCGTCTTCTTTTGTATTTTTAATTGATTTGTTTATTCTTTGCCGTTTTTGGTAACATGAAGCGCATAAATAGTGTCCAGGTATTGAATAACCGTACCACCGTGATGTATGAGTAACATGGCAAATAGAACAATTTTGATTTTTTGGGGATATCTAAATTTTATTGGAAAATTTATGGAAACAGATATAAATTCTCCTACATCAGAAAGATAGATTTATTGACTTTATCATACAGATTTCCGGAAATATTATTTTTTATAGTCAGATCAAATGTCGGCTAAGGCAAAACGTAGTTTTATAGAAACGAGCCGTTTTATGATATCCTTAAATTACTTATTAGTTTATCTTAATTTAGTAAATAAAACATAGTATGTACAAAAACATAAAAAACTTTCCGCTTATTTCTCTATCGGTCCTCAACTTTGACAAAACAACATTTAAAAAATTCACTTTTGAGTAAAATTATTCATTTAAAGAATTCCGATGAGAAGTAGTAAAAAATCTTCCCAAATATTTATTAAGATAACCTTTCTAGTTTTAAACCATAATTCTTTTGATCTAAACTTTCCAAATTTGTGTTTATATGTGCGACATTCATTGCACATGTAATGTTCTTTTAGAAAATTATTCCAACGTTTTGTTTCTGTAACTCTACAATTGAAACACATTCGTTTATATAATTCAACTATTCCAACTATAATTATCAAATAAAATTTTTTAGTTAAATGAAAAGTAGACAAAGTATAAAATTTATTTACTTATTTTATTGCCAATATAAATAATTCTTCTTTTAAATTCTATTGAATATTCAACTTTTTGTCTTGCTAACAATTTAATTTTATATCCAATTAAATTAATTTCTGTCCAATAACTTGATAAAAGTTTGCTTTTATATGATTCTATATTTTCTTTTAATAAATAATTTTCTTTAATTGAATTCATCGAATCATTATTTTCTATATTTTCGTCTAGTATTGAAGTTTCATAATAATTATCCTTTTCAGTAAATTTAGTATATCGGAATGCCTTAAATTATTGTTAAATCAGTAATTCCTTGTAAATTGAAAATTTATTAAATTTAATTTTTCGCTTCGTTTTAGTTTATTTGTGAGCGAAATTCTATTTACGCCTAGCTAAGTCTTGACGTTTTATTACATAAAAAGTACCCGTTTTTCAAATCCTTGTAAAATTTTTTTAATAATTTTATTGTTGGCAATTTCAATCACAATTTTCCTTTTTAATAAAAATTCTGAATTTGTCCGGCGAACATTTAATTCAATATTTTTAAAAATATTTGTAGCGAGATCCAAGTCTACCAAACTTGTAAATCCCTCCATATTGTAATTAGAGCCATAATATCTATTGTTATGCTTTTCGATTGTTTTGACAACGAAACGCTCCTTCAGTTCAACAACTTTTAAATAAATAAATTCTCTTTTTTCTTCCCAATCATCTTTGATTTTTAAAGAAACACGAATTGGCTTTCCGACGCATTGAATATTCAATAAATAAATTAAATATAAGAGAATGATCACATTAAATTTATTCATCTGAAATTTTGTGTAATAAAGCACTCACAAATCCATTTTACAATCGGTTAAAAAGGAGGGATTTTTGGAGACCATTGAGAGACGCAATTTTAAAATAAATAGGGAATTATACATATAATCAAATTTTGAAGAAATTAAAAATTTTTAAAGTCCATGAAGTGGTAAAATAATAAATATAAAAACTGAATAAGGTGATTTACACGCAGACTGCTTTTATTTTTTATTTATTTAGTGAGAGATACTTAAATTTAATAAACATAAAGCTGTCAACCTACTACTAGAAAAAAACTGGTTTTAGATAAATTAAAAGTTTAGAATTAGGTGTTTTTTTATATTCAGACACCTCACAAGTCAATACACAAATGTTAGAATTTTTAAGTAAAATTGGTTTATGCATTCGAGTTAAATTTTAATAAACAGAATATATTCCCTTTTTAACATCCAAGAAAAAAACTTAGATTAATTTAATTTTTGCTAAACCCTATAAATGAAGTCTTTTTCTTTTAAATTTTAAATAAATTCAAAGGGCATTAGAGCTTTTCGAAATTTCGATTTTCTACTTTGGCTCAGTCCAGATTTCGAACTAATGAATTCGAAACTTTTTGAAAGACACAGTAAGCAATTAAAAAATTTTATTGCCTAATTATATTAACACGGCAATTGACACAAGTGCATTTTTTATAATCCCTAAGTAATAAAATAAAAAAATATAAAATTATGATGGTAAATTATGAAATTTATTTAAGATTATTTTTATACATATTTATTTATTGTCTCACATTGTTAGGAAAGTTTGTATTTGCACTTTCTACAAATCCCACTATTAATAATATTCGTTTTTTCAACACTTTCAACCCGAAGATTTGGAAGCACTCATAAAAGCATGAGAAGGTATAACGTGTAATACAAACGAAAAATTTAATAAACGGTATTATTAATAGTGGGATTTGAAGAAAGTACAAATTTATAATTCCCTAACAAAGAGGCAATAAATAAATATGTATAAAAATAACCTTTAAAAAATTCATAATTTACCGTCTTATTTTTATTTATATTTATTTTGTCACTCAAGGGACTTTATGAAAAAATGCAATTTTGCCAATTTTGTTACTTTCATAGAGTTTCGAAATCATTGGTTCGAACTCTTGGTTGACCCATGTAGAAAATCGAAATTTCGAAAAAGCTCTACTGCCCTTAGCATTTAATTAAATTTTAAAAGTAAGACACTATTTATTTATAGGGTTTAGCAATA